TCCTTATATAATCACCTTTAATATATATTATAATTATCTTTTAAAAATGAGGATAAAATAATAATAAGTATATGAAATGTCATCTTAAAAAAAAAATAGATAACTAAATTTGCATGTCTTAAATTAGAAATTAAATCTATTAAAATTGAGCAGAAAGGATAAGTTATTTAACTATTTTTCTTTATTAAACATGAAATTCATATTAATTCAAGTACAACTAGTACTCAACTCTTTTACAAATAAATTATTTTTTCTTGTTTGTAAAAATAAAAATATTAAAAATAAAAAATTGTTGGTCCTATAATACAATCACTACTAGAAAGCACAAATTCACACACAACACATTGGTAAGTAGAGGGTTTACGTTGGAGTAAACAAGCTTCCCACCACGTTATACACATTGATAAACACCCGTCGGTATAAGTGGCCTCAGTAGTCAATGCACTGACGTAACTTCAAATCATGTCGTTAAATTCATAAAATTTATCGACGTGAGACAAATTGGAGAGCAAGGTTGTTGGATCGACGGCAGGTGAATAGGAAAATTACCAACTCTTGGTTCTCACGTCGGTAAATTATTCAAATTCATCGACATATGATTTGAAGGTACATTATTGTACTGGAATAGTGTACATTTTCTGACGATACTTTTCCTCCAAACACACGTCGGTGTTTAATCGCTTACAAATGTAACTAACGTTGGTAAATATTTATTTATTTTTATGAAAAACTTAAATATTTAAGGCATTATTTTAAAACTTACCAACGTGACCAACGTTGGTAAATGATTTTTTGGAAAAAAAAATTGGGTTTCTTCAATTGAAACTCAAATTAATTATATATATTTGTTCAATTCAATCTATTTGTTCACAAATGTCAATTAATTTGCAACTCTTAATATAAACAGTAAATATGATATTAAAATTTTCAAATAAAAAAAATAAATACAGATTTTGATAATGTAGGAATATTAACATAAATTTCAAATTTGTGAAAATAAGAAAAATAAAATATAAAATTTGGTAACATAAACAAAAAATTAATAATTACCTCAATAAACATATCATATATAGAGCACCATTTTCTAAAAAAAATGTGAAAAACAAAATTAGTTTAATGTTTATATATAAATTCAAGCAATTAATACAACCTAAGTATAATAAAAAATTAGTTTAAAGAAAATTTACCGAATATTTATAGTGCCATTTCCTGCAAAACAACATGAAAAAAATAGAAAAAGAACTCCATAGCTCAAATTAAAATTAAATCACTTAACAAAAAGAAGAGAAGAGAAAGGAGAGGAGAGAAGAGAAGAAAAAACAAAATAAAAACAACATGAATATAAAGCTACATGTAATGTAATTATAAAAAAGAAAAAAAAAAAACTACTGTGGCAAGAAGAAGAGAAGAGAAGAGAAAAGAGAGGAGAAGGAGAAGAAAGGAGAAGAAGGAAGGAAGAACAAATGAGAAGGGTTTTGGGCTAGAGGCATCATATAATACCATGTACCTATGTGGATCATGTCGAAATCTAGTTTACCAACGTGATCCACGTTGGTAAGTCTTCAATTTCTGCGAGAGGAAAAATTTGCAAAAACATTACTTTTCCTAGTTAAAACTTATGGCACGATGCATGTTGGAAAGTTAAAAAAAAACAAAAAAAGTGGTTGAAAAAATACCGAAACTGTTTAATTTTCCCGTTGTTGATTTATCGACATGCATGACCTTGGTATGGAAGAAATTTCAACAGGTCAAATATTTATCAAATATTTTGTTTTCCTGCCTCTATTTTACTGACGCATATAATGTTAGCACATTGTTAATGATTTAGCAACTTATATATACGTAGGCTTAAAATTTATCAATGTGCATAGCGTTGGTAAGTAATTTTTCCTGAGGCTATGCACATTGTTATGCAAAGGAAGTTCAACACAATTGCCAATTTCTAAATTCCATCCAGTTTTCATGTCAATTTCTAGATTTGTTTTTTAGATTTCTTGCATTTTGGTCATGTTAGTGGATATAAATTCTAGGGAAAGTTTGGCTTTCCCCGTCTATATGATGAAATCCAATTATATTTTGAACAAACTGTTGTAATGAAAAACATACTTCGAAGCTTTGGCATATAAAAACAATACATTTTCAAAACATCAACCACATAAGATTTTCTTAAATGTAGATGATAATCAATTCATAATAACCCCTAGAACAATCCAAAACTTTCTACCATGTCAAATACGAATAATGGAGGTGAAACAAAATATGAACAGATATTGACATAAAAAATATGCCCTAAAAGCTAAATGTATTAGTCATAAATGTACGTGAAATGTAGCAGAAAACAGAACTTAGGACCTTGATATTTTGGGTAAAAAACGGGATGGTACATATCTTTTTTGAAGCTGCTAATGATGTCTAGGCAATATTGAAGAGGTCTGTGTGTAATCAAAAGAGTGACTAAAAGGTGCATTCAGGTGGAGACCTAAGCCTTGGCTATGTTGTGGTGGTGGTGGTGGAAATGGATGCAAACCTGGCTAAAGGGTGATGCCATAAATAGTGAGAGTAGCTGCAACAAACTGTGCAATCATCTAAGTCATGTTATTCTTCGCCTTTGCCATTTGAACCATCTATTGTTGCGTCAGAGTCATTTGCTCTTGTTGCTCAGCTAACTCTTCATTCTATTTCACCACAATCTCATAGTGGCGTGCCTGTTCCTATGCAAAGTTAGTCAACATTGTGGTCATCAAGTTCTCCAGAACCTGTCTCTTCTTGTAAATAAATACATCATTTGGATTTACTTGTGATCCAATATCAGGCGTGAACTTTGAGAAGCAACCTTCAACAACAATGTCTGTCGCTTGTTTATTTTGTATTGGCCATAGATTCACATCTAGGTCGTGGCTCTCTA